ATACCCCCCAGGGAGGGAGTTACAGACTGGAATCTGATCGAGGGGTTTGGGGGGGTTTATATACAGAATAACAGATATCCCCCGGGAGGGAGTTACAGACTGGAATCTAATCGAGGGGGTTCGGGGTGGTTTATATACAGAGTAACAGCTACCCCCCGGGGAGGGAGTTACAGACTGGAATCTAATCGAGGGGTTCGGGGGGGTTTATATACAGAATAACAGATACCCCGGGAGGGAGTTACAGACTGGAATCTAATTGGGGGGGTTCGGGGTGGTTTATATACAGAATAACAGATACCCCGGGGAGGGAGTTACAGACTGGAATCTGATCGAGGGGGTTCGGGGGGGTTTATATACAGAATAACAGATACCCCCCGGGAGGGAGTTACAGACTGGAATCTGATCGAGGGGGTTCGGGGGGGGTTTATATACAGAATAACAGATACCCCGGGAGGGAGTTACAGACTGGAATCTGATCGAGGGGGTTCGGGGTGGGGTTTATATACAGAATAACAGATACCCCCCGGGAGGGAGTTACAGACTGGAATCTGGTTCTGAGGTCTCAGGGTGTCCCAGGGGCTGGTTCATACGCAGCTGCCTGGCTGTGAAAGATATTCTGACAATCTCTGCCTGTTCCAGGCCACCGTTGCCAAGGCCCAGCTGTACACGCTGATGGAGCGTTTCAACCGGCTGGAGCACGATAACAAGATTATGGCCGATGAGATACACCGCTTCCACCAGGAGGTGGACAGACTGCGCCACAATTTATCTGGGGTGAGTCTGCGCCCTTCGACTGTGGGAGGCAGTGCTGTACGGAGAACCACTCTTTGACTGGGTGGGGGGAATCGCCATGTGGGGTCTGCCCTTCGACTGGGGGAGGCATCACCATGCGGGGGACCGCCTTCGACTCGGGGGAAGCAACGCCGTGTGTGGGACCACACTTCGACTGGGGGAGGAATCGCCATGCAAGGTCTGCCCTTCGACTGGGGGACGAACCGCCATGCAGGGTCTGCCCTTCGACTGTGGGAGGCATTGCCATGTGGGGAAATACGCTTCAATTGGGGGAGGGGTAGAGTGTGGGGGGAGAGAGGATGGAGGGGAAGGCGGGAGGTTTGTTCAAGAAATGGACTTTAATGTCAGTGCCAGGCAGACGCAACCTTTTCATCAATAGCTCCCTAAGTACAGCATTTTCTCTCTTTCTCTCTGTCCCTCTCTCCCTTCCGTCCCCACTCTCTGTCTCCCTCCTTTCTCTCCCTACCCCTCTGCATCCATCTCTTCCACTCCATCACTTGCCCTCCCACACGAACTTAATGCAGCCATTCTCTCTCTCTCCCTCCCACATTCTCCCTGTTAACAGCAAACTACTGCTGTCTTTGGCTCCACAAGACTGGGGGATGACTCACTGCTTTGCTGAGGATGCCTTGCTAAATCCACCCACATCTCCTGACATTCCCGAATGCCCCCATCCCCCAGCGTAGCTCCCACCTCCTTTGCCCAGACCCAAATTTGGTCAGAGGAGTGTGCAAGAAGTGAAAGGTCGAGTTATTGTGCAACTGAGAAATTCCAAAACATTCTTTTTCTCTCTCCCTCATGTTCCCCGTCAGACACAGCCTCCATGCAGAGCCAAACATAATTGGGAGCATTGTGGGTGGTGGAGGTGGCTCACAGTGTTACAGTGAGGGGTGTGGGATATATCAGTGTGTTACAGTGAGGGGTGTGGCGTGTATCAGTCTGTTACAGTGAGGG